CCAATTATTGTTACCATCGGGAATTGACGTAGGCGTAACGACGGAATATTGAGTCAACGGATGCGCAATAAAAGGCCATGAACTGAGTTTAGGAGGAGGAGGACCTTGTGATCAGACTCCACTACAGCCATCACCAACGTCGACGCAGAAATAGACAAATAAGTCCAAGGCATCATACAATGCGATTTATGCTAAGGACTTAAGCAGGACATACGCCGGGGCACTATAGCAAACAGGTGTCTAGAAAACTGAGTACATAAAAAGGACACATAGCTGGCCCTCAAAGTAACATTTTATCCATGTAAATTACGCCCAATAAGTCGGACTTGTGGATGTCATACGGAGTCCTTAAACACTGGATTCGTTGGCTAAAAAGCTATTCACAATGTTCACATTCCCACGAGGTGTCATTTCACAGAAAAGCGCACGTTTCCTGTGCTCCAGTTCATGAACACGCGCTCGATAGCGTTCCATTCTAATTATGGCCACAGTGCCCCCCCCCGTCCGCGAGAAGGGACTCTGCCCTTCTAGAACTTTCTCTTGAAGCGGACAGGTCAGTCAACCTGAATGGCTTGCTATAAATACTGGCGCAGTTTTTCCAATGAGAATGACCTACAGGTTTTGAATACATTTTTTTTTTCAAAAGGACACTGTGTCGAGGTATAGGTTCTACCAAAAAGTGATACGTTATGCCCAAAGAACTCCGGTTTTTGATTTCCATACGTAGTCCTCAAACGTATGATCTATTGGCAGCTTACAGCTGGATTGAGGTTATAGTAAGGAAGGCGTTGGCTGGACACTGACTTAACTCTCTCCTCTCATAGGCATTGTGTGTGTGTACAAGATGGTCTGAAGAGAGGAGTGAGACCGCCATAGCGCCACTGCCTACAAAATGAGTTGACTGAAATGCCAAGAGAGAGAGCGGGAGAAAAAGACCAACCTGTCCAATCTTCTCGAGGAGCTGAACGTCCGCATTGTCCAACTGCCAATCGGGACGGGCAATGGGATTCAGAAGGAGGGCACCGGATCCCGCGGTTACTGGTTTTCCCGTCCTCATGTGGAATTCCACCAAATCCCTGCAAGGCAAAACAAAACATTAGTTATTAATTGGTAAG